CTTCTTCAATAAAAATTTCTATCAATTTTAATCTAATAATGTAACAACGATTTGCCTATATAAATTTTCTTATCTCAATAGAGGATTATTTCCTCATCTTTAAAACGTAAAATATTATTTTTTACGGTTGTTTCAATAACGGGTTCGGCTAGATGAGTATTTGCTAAAAGCAATTTGGGTTTCTGCCATATCTGATTTTTGCAAGAAACGTATACAGAACGTTGGAAAATGCTATCTCGAAAATGGAATATAGTAGTGAGAAACCTCTTTGCTGCATTAACCTCACTTTAGCCTATATTTTATGGAACAGGTCCATACCTCTGTCCATGTATACAACACGTTTTAGTTTTGAATGCCACTTGCCGGCTACTTCGCAACGGAAAAGGAATTCTGTTGAAACCTGTGATATGACAATCAATATAATTATACTTGTAAACCATAGTTGTACTTGGAAATGATACATATATAAATATATACAATAATTTGATTGTCGCTAACATTTAGCTATTTTAAGAAATAAAATCATGTCTTAGAGTATTTTGTAGATATTAGAAATAAACTAAAAACAATATGGCAGACAGCCAACTTTTTACTAGAGACAACTTTTATTTAAGAAATAACTTTGCTGCATGGTTTAATTCACGTTTTATGAGTGACCACTACTTCATTTTTGTTGGATATTTGTTTCTTTTACATCACACTTTAAGTACTAAGAGCTTAAAGTAGATTCATATTTCTTTTTCTTTTTTTTTCAAAAATTAGAAAAAGGAAAATAAAATATAACAAAGTTCTATAAGAAAAATACATAAAAGTACACTTAGTACAAGAAATAAACACCAAATAACAATCAGTTATCAATAAACTGAAGTTATTTTATGTTATTCGAACTATTCCAAAGAAAGTTATATCGTAAATATAAGTAGGTCTTGTGTTTTCGAATATACCCATTATAACTTTATAAACTTATATGAAATATTTTAAAGTTTTAAAGTGAAATTTATGAAATTATTGATGTACAGACCGATTAGATGTATGTACTAGTTTGAACAGGGTTTCTTAGCAACGATTTTGTTACTGTCAACATAATGGTCTTTAATATTACATTCTGCAATAAGATTTATTCTCAGGCTACTTTGTTTTTCTATAAACAACTATATAGCATTGTACAATAGTCATATCTCTTTTCTCTAATACCAAATCTTAATAAAAGGAAATGGAATGCCCATATATTGCAAAATCGAACTTCTTTTTTGGGTAATATAAATATTGAAAGCGTAATCATTTCGACATGAACACTAAATTAAGATTCTGTATCTACATTATACAACTTGTTTGCACAAGTAAATCGAAACGAAAAATGCTGTAGGAAACTCCAGAAAATAAATATTATAAATGAAAGTTAAACAATTTGCTTTATAAACAGAAAAAAAAACTATCTTAAAAAAATAATAATTTAAAATAAGAAAAACATGTTTAATATAGCCTCGTGAACTTATCTGAATTTCAAATTGAGTTTTTGGATTCGTTTTTAAATATATTTATTAAAATTTAAATAATTAATTTATTTTCTGTACTTTATTTTCTAATATATATAAAAGGTAAGATTTTTATTTTTTTTAAAGTAAAATATGAAATTGAATCTTAAATCTGTAATAATGTCTATGTCAGTGTTTTATAGTCAATAAGTAAAAAGGAAAAAGAAAAAGTAGGAGAAAAAAAAGAAATCCTTAAAAAAAATTCAAACATCATTCTGGGAATTAAATTGAACAGAATTGAAAGAGAAAATAAATCCAGGGAAACTCCTCAATTGTTAGGAAAGATAAGGATAAAGGGAATAGTTTAAATTTAAAATTTAATTTAGAAAGAATAAATTAAAGTGTATTACTACAATATTATATATGCAGAGCTCACAATATCGTACATGTAGAATACGAATAAAATTTCAAATAAATTTCTCAAAGCCAGTTATCTCATCACATATCTCAAACTTCAGATATCAGACATAGTAATGGCACATGGCCAAAACTATTATCATCATTATAAGCGAGGTGAGAGACTAGTTGTGTAGCTTCAAAGTCAGATGGTAATCTTTGCACCACATACCTCTTCGCTGTGATTAAAGCAATTGAACATAAATTACCACACATAGCGTTCCTTGACTTAAAATGAAGTCAGCGACAAGTTAAAAGACATTTCGATTCGAGAAGAAAAAGATAAGAGATTTCCTGTCTATAAGTTCTTTTTTATTTTAATCTTTAAAAAGAATTTTTTTTTGTGTGTGTGTGTTACGAAGAATTTTCTTTGATTTTTGATTAGTGCAACAAATAAAAAGAAACGGATAAAGAATGAAAGTAGATAATTTATCGAATGTTTTTAAATGTAAACTAATATTAATCTTATATTTCAATAACTTTTAATAAAATCGCATTATCTATTCTTTTAAAGATATGAATAAGAAAACGATGTATTTTTTAAGTTGCAAAAACAAAATACGTGTTTCTGTTTTATTTACTTTCTAACCCATAAGACGGTAAAGACTTTTCGATTAATAAAGAATTGAGGTTTTTTATACTTATTATTTTTTCTTCGTTAGTAACATTATTGGGACACAATGGTCTCTTTACCAAATCAGTTGAACTAGCAAAGTATTCTGGATCTGCAGCAATCATCCACTGCAATCATTTGGGAGAACACGCAGCTTTTAAATATTTTAAGATCAATCATTCATAGTAGGAGGTTGTCTCTTAGTAATGGCCGCTACAAGTCACGTGACTTTGCAGGAAGCAATCAAGCACAACATTGAAATTTCTACTTCCTACGAAGCAACGCTCGAGTGGTCTATTGAAATACTAACAACTGATGCGAAAAGAAGTGAAAGATATTCAAACAGGATATCACTTTATTATAATCTAATATTTACTAATACTAACCTGCTTATTTATTGATAAATTTATTTCTAATAAAGAGATAATCTCTTTAATCGTTTAATGTTCTGTTGAATGATTTACTAGATGCGATATCAGGAAAATTGGAAAATATAGAGCAAGTAATTATATTATTTAAACATTGATAAGCTCCAGTAATCTGAAATATAATAAAATATAAACGTTACAAATGAATTTTTTAACTAGTAAAATGGAAAAATGAAAAAGGATTCTCAATAATTGTTGCTAAAAATAAAGCTAATGGAGTAATTACTAAAGCACAATTTGCGAAACAAAATTGCAAATTATCTAAACAGAATAAAAAACAACAAAAATATAATTAGACACTTACTTTAAATGAATAAGTTAAAAGATTTTAATAAATAATGTTATTATTCGAGATTTATTATGGCATAACCGCCTTTTATTCTATGAGGCAATCTAACGTTAAAGAGACTAAGGTGTTTTCAATCAATATTTGTTAATTAATTATTATTGACTACCTTATAGAATGCATTATCTTTGTATAATGTATTTTCGTGCAAACCGTACGATAGAAAACGAAAGGTTAATTGATTTTTTCGGGATAGAAGTTGTTTAGTAGCACGATATCCATATGAGAAAACTGCATAGTTTATTATATTCTAGGAATTACATTAAGAATGTGCCTAAAAAACAAAGAAAGTCCCCGAGGTTAGAAAGAAAGACACGCTTGATGAATGAAATCGACTCGCTGCGCTATAATTCGTCAAGTGAAATGATATCATAAATGAGAATGTCAGTACAATAACTATTGCAAATGGACATTTGTCACTAAGAGAAGTAATGATAACATGAATGAAGCGGTAATGAGTCCTAAACTCGATGCAACTTTTTAATATCGAAACCCAATTAGGCTATGAACCATTTTACGTTTAGCGATTTTAGCACGTTTCGTTAGGTCTGTTCTAGGCTCTACAGCCAAACACTTTATCTTAACAATCACCTAAACTTAAAATTAAAACTTATGAAATTTTTTAATTTTCTGCACAATATAAAAAACAATTTAGGAACAAGTTTCTTAGTGACGAAGCTTATTATATTTATAACACGAGATGAATTAAGTTGGGTTCTTAATGAAAGCATTCCGTTCTTATTTTATATTTAAATAATTAAACTTGGTTTTTTTAAATGATTAAAAAAAGAACTTAAAAAAACAATAAAAGTTTTGATTTTAATTTAATATTTATTATTATTTTTTCTACAAAGTAAAAAATTCATTTTATTCACGAAACAATTTCTTTGGTTAAAAAAACAATTACCAATAACGATATGGGAGAAAAAAATGAAAATATTAGAATATTTTATGTTAATACTGTATTTAGTTTTGTATATTGACATGGAATATAATAGAGACGTGTTAAAAGTTCTCATCGTTTTTTGCATAAAAAGTCTACATTTTGTTAAAACCAAAAATTTTTGTTAAATTTTGATTTGAGCTTTTTTTAATACAGTACTCACTCACGATCAATACCAGTCTTTTAATAGAGAACTAACTATTATATGGATAGATATAAGTTATCAAGGATGTTTAATGATATAGAAAAGAGTCATCAAGCTTCTATAGGGCAATAAACCATATTCGGCTATATATTTATAGACATCAGCAAAATAAACATCAGACACTAATGGTAATCAAGGTAACCGTTTACCAACTAAACAAATACTATCAGCAATATTTTCATCTCTACATGAAAGTAATTATCACTTAAATAGTGAAAACGATAAACGATGTCCTCTTATCTAAATAAGCATTCAATACGGAACACAAAGTGTCGGTACAATGCAATTTAAAATGTTAGCGATGCTCGCATACATGTAAAATAGCTAAAAAAATAACCTAGAAATGATCTAGATGTGCTTTCACACTTAAAAAAACTTTATAAAACGGCAGAGTCAAAATATTTTACCAATTTATAAATCTTTTTCTAGGAAATGTCCAATAGATTTAGTAAAAAAAAATTGAATTTAGACTTAAGGTAAAAAAGGATATAAAGTTCCGATTAAAAGAAAGGTCTGTAATCAGAGATTACTTACCTGTAATGTTTGCGGTACAATTTCCAAGATTTGCAAACAAAGTCAATAATAAATATAAAGTAAGTGACAAGGAAAGAATGAAATATATGCACTTTTCCATAATTTTTTTTCTTTGTAGTATTCGTTTGTCTTAAATCAGTATCGTTTCTCAAGCTCTAAACTCTCATATTGATCAAAAGGAAAAACATGCTGGATATCTCACCACTGTCTCACCTCCTACTGACGCTACTGCTGGATGATCTTATGGAGCGTTTAACACAGCTCTGACTAGGGCGACCTCTGCAGTACATGCTTTAAACAATTCTACGACCGCAGCCTTTCGATTTCGATTCTCTTTAAATCACTACCCAAGGCTAACATTTATATCATATAAAATATGTACTATAAATTGTATAAGACGTTACTTGCATTTTCTACCTAATTATTAAAATTGCCTATTTGAAATATAAACGACGGAAACTATTTAGATAAAATATAAATTGTGTACGGATCTGCATTATTCGGTTACTGGCGAATAATGCTGAATAGTGGACATGTCTAAATGAAATAAAATTCCGAACATATAACAAAAATGAAAAATCACAATATTGCACGTCATGTTAGAACATAGAATCATTAAAACTAAAATATTTGTTAGGAATTCGACTGTTGATGACATGGATACATCATGCAATACATTCATTTTGATGCATGACAAATGATATCTATAGATAACGTATTCGTCATGTTTAATCTATGTAAAGATATCCATAAGAACATAATAATAAGCAATTATTTAAAAAAAAAATTGTTAAGAAAATGTGACTATTATGTAAATGTTTATTATTATTAGTAGTATACGGATACAAAAATGTACGCTAATAAATAATTGATTTGTCCGCTTAGTGTTTTGCTTTCAATTATTTAGACTAATATTCAAATAAATCAGTTGCCGTTATGAATAAATTAGTTGTATTTTTTTGTAATGAAAATGTTAAATCATTACAAAACAAGAGAAATCGAAAACGAAAATAGACAGAGTAGAACGGAATATAATAATTCAACTGAATGTAACAAGACATATGCAAACATCATTTTGTATAATATCTTCATTATCGCATGATATCCATCTTTGTGTTTGTATTGAATTTTAAATAACGAAGGAAGAGAAACGAATAAAAAATTTCCATAATGTTTTTTACAAAAATCATACAAAACCGAATGGATTAATTTTCCATATTCTGTACATAAGGCCTATAGCAAAAATTTTGGTTATGAGAGAAATTAATTACTTTTATGACAGGCTATTTTTTATTTTATGAATTCATCTAATATTGATTTAAATATATTAATTACTTTGAATCGAATTAAATATTTCTTTTATTAGGAAATAAGTAAAATAAGTATTGAAATTAAATTAGATTTATTTCATGCATTTATTTAAATATCATCTTGTTTTAATAAATTAATATGTCTTATTTTATTATTATTTTTTTATTGAGAGACAGAAATTTGTTTTTATGGAATGAATTAATTTGTTAATATTTACTAAAAATAAAAATAATTTTTCTAAATCATTAAAATATTCATTTCAACTCTAAAATTGCAATTTTTCATTTTCAAATATTTCTACAAACACTTTTATGTATTTTTTAAAATTTAATCAAGACTAATTGAGCATATCTTTGTATATTTAAAAGTCTCATAAGTTTATATATATATATAAATTTTCAAATGTGATTAAATATAAATATATATCTTTCTTTTAAATTTATATAAATATATAGATTTCAAAGATATAAAACACATATAAGTATGTAAAAGCTTAGTATAAAATAAGTATCAGCATCACGTTTCGACCTACAAAAGTAAGCTTTATTTATTTATTTTTTATTGTCTATTGCCAAACAATTTTGTCAATAACATTTAATTTTAAACAGTGTAACTTCGTTGATTTTAAAAATTTGATGAAATTTTCTAAATTATTACATGATTTTAAAATTTATAAATTGATGAGATATCATCTACTAAGAGATATTAATAAACATCTCTTTCTATCATGTGACTAAAAGATTATCTTTTGATGATATATTATTAGCGTTCAAAGGATGATTGTAACATATTTATGAATAATTTTAAGCATGTAATTTTATCGATAATTTACTAATATTTTAAATATTAATATCTATAATTACAAAATATTAAAACTAAAAGATATTTAAGATCAATTTTTTTTAATTTATGTTCAAAATTTATAAATAAAAAAATTATTCTGATTTTTTATTCATTAATTTTTTTAAATGTCTCTAAATAATTTTATAAATAAATTATTATTTATTTTAATATTTAAACTTATAAAAATTTAAAAAGCAAAAATATTAAATGATTTTTTAAGAATTGGATTTTTAAAAATTTATAAACTCAAATTTACTCTGAAAAATGAAACAGTTTTGATTTTGTTTCAGAAGAGCTAACTGAATTTGAAACAGTTAATTGTCATGATTGTTTATAAATCATTTTAATGCTAATTTATTGATAATCTTTTAAATATTTTAGATTGAAAAAAAAATTAAGAAGTGAAAAACTTAAAATAAATATAAGAATTAAATTTTCGAAAATTTATAAAGTTTAAAAATTGCAAAGAAATGAAACGAATTCGGTTTTTGTTTCAAAGAACTTTTGTGTCTAAGATATTTTAAGATATTATTCAAATTATTGGAATATATAGTTAGCTTCTTCTGGGTTTTTTGGTCCATAATATAAGACCTACGTATCAATGCTAGACCTTTGTTATAAATAATGCATATTATTTGTATGTTTGAATATTTGTTTTTAAATATTCTTGAAAATATGACGTTCGGTTTTTTTTACATTTGATTCGTTTTCGAGTTAAATAAAAATATTATTCGTATAATTTAAAGATAACAAGAATGATATATTCACAAATATTATATATCAAGAAAGATAATAACTGTGAATAAATTCAGTTCAAAAACAAAAATATATTGTACAGATCGATGTTTTAATCAACGACTCCTTGTAATTTATTTTTATTTTGAAGTATTTTCTATTAGTAATTATAAACTTTTATAATTTAAAAAGAAATTAATGTTTATATATACTTTTATAGTAGCGTTGAAAGATATTAAGGAAACAATAATTTATAAAAAGAAAAATGTTTTTTGCATAAAATATAACGTTCTTTTATATATTTCAAAATTTTTAAATTATTTTATTAATATTAATAAAAAGAACTTTTCTTTTAAAAAATGTCTTTCTTTTATTTAATATTATTAAAAAAGAGAGAAAAAATAGATTAAAAGAAAAAAAATTATTTCAAAGTTTATTCAGATTGTACAGAAAAGTCGTTGAATATTATATTATTCTGAGAAATTAAAAATAAACATTTAATTAGTAGCCGTCTATATCTAGGTAAATGTTTGATATATAGTTTTCTAATATTCGGATGAAAACGCAGTACATTATATCGACATTTAAATTTCTTTCTTTGAATGCAGATCTGAAACTACCAAAACTTTTCTTTTCGATGCAAAACATTGAAAACAGCCGATAAAGTATTCTAATACATACAGAATGCATTCTTGAGTTGGTGATTTGATTATATTATGCAGTTTGAAGGGGGAATTTGCATTCCCTCGAGATTCATTCCTTTTAAACCTATGTCAAAAATATTAGAAAATTCAGAAATTATGATAAAGTCAATCGAAATTAAAAATGTTGTGCTTTAAAAAAAAAACAGAGGAAAAATTGCCGAATAATAGAATTGTTTATACAAAAACCGTTTTAGATTTAGCCGATAATTCAGATTTATTTTGCAGCTTACGTATGTAAAAATTCAAAGTTTAATAATTTCGTTGCATTCTACAAAACAGGCAATTTTCGAAAATTTCGTAATTTAATATCGCGGACTGTAATACTCTTTAAATGTAAATGTAAGATTGTTGCAGATTCAAGTACTTTATTGATTCCTGAAATGTATATTATACAGCTAAACGGAGCTGTTAAGTTTTATAATAAGCTCGGTATTATAGATCTATTAATCTAGTATGTTTACACTTAGAATTTTCTAACTTAAACTAAGTTTAATTTGTAAACTTTTTTACTAATAATTTTTCTATAAATCCAATTTTATTCATNTTTATTCAGATTGTACAGAAAAGTCGTTGAATATTATATTATTCTGAGAAATTAAAAATAAACATTTAATTAGTAGCCGTCTATATCTAGGTAAATGTTTGATATATAGTTTTCTAATATTCGGATGAAAACGCAGTACATTATATCGACATTTAAATTTCTTTCTTTGAATGCAGATCTGAAACTACCAAAACTTTTCTTTTCGATGCAAAACATTGAAAACAGCCGATAAAGTATTCTAATACATACAGAATGCATTCTTGAGTTGGTGATTTGATTATATTATGCAGTTTGAAGGGGGAATTTGCATTCCCTCGAGATTCATTCCTTTTAAACCTATGTCAAAAATATTAGAAAATTCAGAAATTATGATAAAGTCAATCGAAATTAAAAATGTTGTGCTTTAAAAAAAAAACAGAGGAAAAATTGCCGAATAATAGAATTGTTTATACAAAAACCGTTTTAGATTTAGCCGATAATTCAGATTTATTTTGCAGCTTACGTATGTAAAAATTCAAAGTTTAATAATTTCGTTGCATTCTACAAAACAGGCAATTTTCGAAAATTTCGTAATTTAATATCGCGGACTGTAATACTCTTTAAATGTAAATGTAAGATTGTTGCAGATTCAAGTACTTTATTGATTCCTGAAATGTATATTATACAGCTAAACGGAGCTGTTAAGTTTTATAATAAGCTCGGTATTATAGATCTATTAATCTAGTATGTTTACACTTAGAATTTTCTAACTTAAACTAAGTTTAATTTGTAAACTTTTTTACTAATAATTTTTCTATAAATCCAATTTTATTCATGCTTCTAAAATAGAAATTACAGCTGTTTGTATAAATCTTTTTTTGTCTATNATATTCTCTTTCATATTAATATTATTCATTCTATCTAGTCAACACACTCCTTCTGGATATATACAAATTTATAAATGTCTACACGACAGCTGCATTAAAACAGCTACTTTTCGTTATTACCCATTCAAATGGTGTATCTTTTTTAAAATTTCGCCTCTAACTGTTAATGAAATTTTGACATACTTTTTGTATTTTTA